AAAAAAAAAAAAAAAAAAAAAAAAGTGGGGGGAGGTTGAGGGGTTTTCTTGTTCCAGGTTTTGGAAGGGACCCTTGAATCTGTCTTCAGCCTTTGCACTGCTCGGCTCACACTTCCTCCCATCATTTCCCTACTAGGGAAAAAAAAAAATCAACTCCCAAGTGGATTTAACTTTTGAGCTGAACCCTACCTCTGTCAACCTCTGATTTCCAATTTTACTCTTTGCAGAGGAAAATACTTGCAAGGGAATTAAAAGAAAAAAAAACAAAACTAAAGTATAAAAAAAAAAAGAAAGAAAAAAAAGCTCAGAAAAGTTAGTCCATTTCTTACTGAAAAAAGTTACGAGGAGAGGGAGAGGAAAAACCAGCCTTTTTGCAGAATTGGTGGAAGTCCCCAAGCTGGCTGTGCGTTCTCTCTGTCCACACCTCCGCCTGTCCCGCTGCAGCCATCGGCGCTCCCCGGCCCATCACGTGCCGGGGCTTGGCCGGGTCCGGCTCCTTCCCCTGCCCGCTGGGCTCCCCTCGCTGCGGGGCTGCGGCTGTGCGCGGCTCCCGGCCCGCTCCCAGACAGCCCCGATCCCCGACAGCCCCGATCCCAGCCCCGATCCCAGCCCCGATCCCAGCCCCGATCCCAGCCCCGATCCCAGCCCCGATCCCAGCCCCGATCCCAGCCCCGATCCCAGCCCCGATCCCAGCCCCGATCCCAGCCCCGATCCCAGCCCCGATCCCAGCCCCGATCCCAGCCCCGATCCCAGCCCCGATCCCAGCCCCGATCCCAGCCCCGATCCCAGCCCCGATCCCAGCCCCGATCCCAGCCCCGATCCCAGCCCCGATCCCAGCCCCGATCCCAGCCCCGATCCCAGCCCCGATCCCAGCCCCGATCCCAGCCCCGATCCCAGCCCCGATCCCAGCCCCGATCCCAGCCCCGATCCCAGCCCCGATCCCAGCCCCGATCCCAGCCCCGATCCCAGCCCCGATCCCAGCCCCGATCCCAGCCCCGATCCCAGCCCCGATCCCAGCCCCGATCCCAGCCCCGATCCCAGCCCCGATCCCAGCCCCGATCCCAGCCCCGATCCCAGCCCCGATCCCAGCCCCGATCCCAGCCCCGATCCCAGCCCCGATCCCAGCCCCGATCCCAGCCCCGATCCCAGCCCCGATCCCAGCCCCGATCCCAGCCCCGATCCCAGCCCCGATCCCAGCCCCGATCCCAGCCCCGATCCCAGCCCCGATCCCAGCCCCGATCCCAGCCCCGATCCCAGCCCCGATCCCAGCCCCGATCCCAGCCCCGATCCCAGCCCCGATCCCAGCCCCGATCCCAGCCCCGATCCCAGCCCCGATCCCAGCCCCGATCCCAGCCCCGATCCCAGCCCCGATCCCAGCCCCGATCCCAGCCCCGATCCCAGCCCCGATCCCAGCCCCGATCCCAGCCCCGATCCCAGCCCCGATCCCAGCCCCGATCCCAGCCCCGATCCCAGCCCCGATCCCAGCCCCGATCCCAGCCCCGATCCCAGCCCCGATCCCAGCCCCGATCCCAGCCCCGATCCCAGCCCCGATCCCAGCCCCGATCCCAGCCCCGATCCCAGCCCCGATCCCAGCCCCGATCCCAGCCCCGATCCCAGCCCCGATCCCAGCCCCGATCCCAGCCCCGATCCCAGCCCCGATCCCAGCCCCGATCCCAGCCCCGATCCCAGCCCCGATCCCAGCCCCGATCCCAGCCCCGATCCCAGCCCCGATCCCAGCCCCGATCCCAGCCCCGATCCCAGCCCCGATCCCAGCCCCGATCCCAGCCCCGATCCCAGCCCCGATCCCAGCCCCGATCCCAGCCCCGATCCCAGCCCCGATCCCAGCCCCGATCCCAGCCCCGATCCCAGCCCCGATCCCAGCCCCGATCCCAGCCCCGATCCCAGCCCCGATCCCAGCCCCGATCCCAGCCCCGATCCCAGCCCCGATCCCAGCCCCGATCCCAGCCCCGATCCCAGCCCCGATCCCAGCCCCGATCCCAGCCCCGATCCCAGCCCCGATCCCAGCCCCGATCCCAGCCCCGATCCCAGCCCCGATCCCAGCCCCGATCCCAGCCCCGATCCCAGCCCCGATCCCAGCCCCGATCCCAGCCCCGATCCCAGCCCCGATCCCAGCCCCGATCCCAGCCCCGATCCCAGCCCCGATCCCAGCCCCGATCCCAGCCCCGATCCCAGCCCCGATCCCAGCCCCGATCCCAGCCCCGATCCCAGCCCCGATCCCAGCCCCGATCCCAGCCCCGATCCCAGCCCCGATCCCAGCCCCGATCCCAGCCCCGATCCCAGCCCCGATCCCAGCCCCGATCCCAGCCCCGATCCCAGCCCCGATCCCAGCCCCGATCCCAGCCCCGATCCCAGCCCCGATCCCAGCCCCGATCCCAGCCCCGATCCCAGCCCCGATCCCAGCCCCGATCCCAGCCCCGATCCCAGCCCCGATCCCAGCCCCGATCCCAGCCCCGATCCCAGCCCCGATCCCAGCCCCGATCCCAGCCCCGATCCCAGCCCCGATCCCAGCCCCGATCCCAGCCCCGATCCCAGCCCCGATCCCAGCCCCGATCCCAGCCCCGATCCCAGCCCCGATCCCAGCCCCGATCCCAGCCCCGATCCCAGCCCCGATCCCAGCCCCGATCCCAGCCCCGATCCCAGCCCCGATCCCAGCCCCGATCCCAGCCCCGATCCCAGCCCCGATCCCAGCCCCGATCCCAGCCCCGATCCCAGCCCCGATCCCAGCCCCGATCCCAGCCCCGATCCCAGCCCCGATCCCAGCCCCGATCCCAGCCCCGATCCCAGCCCCGATCCCAGCCCCGATCCCAGCCCCGATCCCAGCCCCGATCCCAGCCCCGATCCCAGCCCCGATCCCAGCCCCGATCCCAGCCCCGATCCCAGCCCCGATCCCAGCCCCGATCCCAGCCCCGATCCCAGCCCCGATCCCAGCCCCGATCCCAGCCCCGATCCCAGCCCCGATCCCAGCCCCGATCCCAGCCCCGATCCCAGCCCCGATCCCAGCCCCGATCCCAGCCCCGATCCCAGCCCCGATCCCAGCCCCGATCCCAGCCCCGATCCCAGCCCCGATCCCAGCCCCGATCCCAGCCCCGATCCCAGCCCCGATCCCAGCCCCGATCCCAGCCCCGATCCCAGCCCCGAT